AGTGCTCTTACTTGAGAACCATACCTGGAGGCCTAGTTTGAAATCTTTAAATTGTACTTGGATAGGAAATATTCCATTAAAATTTCAGCATTTCAGCTTTTCTGGCTTCCGAATTAGCAGTTTTCTTGCCAAAGCTTTTCACATCCTCGTATGTGAAAACCACGCGACCTTCAAGTTGTACGTGAATGGGCAACACCTCTTTAAAATTTCAGCCCTCCAGCTTTCCTGGTTCCTGACTTAGCAATTTTCTCACCATAACTTTCATGTGCTTGTACTCTGAGTTAGACTCGCATGAAGATTGGCACGTCGGTCCTGGATTAACACTGGACCGAAGAACCCATCAGCAAAATTTCAGCGCCGAAGCTTGCTTGGTTACTGAGTTGAAATGCCCGAACAGACACATACATGTACGCGCGCACATAAACTTACACACACCATGGGTTATTACAGTATGCTTTTTTACATGTGCATGCATACAAAAACGTATAAAAAATTGTCCTATATTTTTTTTTTTCTGTTGTTCAGCATCTTTGGTCATATCTGTTTCATTTTTGAAGGTTCAAGTCGGGGAATCCTAAGAAGAGGAAGCGCCTGGAGGCAGCTACTGCAGTCACGGATTCGGACGTGGAAGCGCATGGTATGTGCCATGAACATCTTAGGCCGTTTTTATTCTGGCACTTGGTAGATCAGTTGTCAGCATAATGCGATGGATTCAGCTGGTGGCCCTTCAGTGCTTCATCGAACCAAAGCTGTATCACCGAGTGCTCAGTTTATCTTTGCTCTCTTTTCGATGCACCGTGTTTTCTTCGCGACTATCGGCTCCAGCAGCTTAGCCACTAGCCGTCTGTTTACGCTATCCCGTCGCGGTTATCTGCTGTAGATGGAAGTGTCCTCGAAATTAGTCACTCGAATTTTTTTAATGATATCACTCGAATTTTTTTAATGATATCAAGATTTCGGCTGTGGAAATACACGGTGCCGCACTGCAAAGCAACAGTATTCCGCAGGATTAGTTTTCCACTGCCTGCAACGAGTAATTAATCTTACTTTTCTTATGTGTGTGTGTGTGTGTCAAGAAGTTTTTGTGATGTACGAGCCGCTTTACAATAAAACAGTTTGTGGATT